TTGCCACATGGGTGCTGGGAAACCTAGGTCCTTTGCAAGAGTATTAAGCACTCTTATTACTGAGCCATCCTCCAGTCCATGCTTAAATCTGCTAAAAAAAAACAAAAAAAAAAAAAAAAAAAAAAACAAAAAAAAAAACCCAGGCATATGTACTCCCCTCTGGTATCTTCTTGGTAACAAAATCTTCACTATAAACACTTAGCATTCTTTTTCCCTCCTCAGCTTCTGTGGAGACTGTTGTTTCTACCCGGATGACAACCCCTATCTCCAGCCCCACAGGTAGGAATTCTCTTTGAAGACGCTCCCAGTGGGTCCAGTAATCACAGAAGGCATAAGGAAAGCTGGAGAAGATGGCACATCTCCAAAGAACTCAGGATTGCCTCTAGATGGATCTCACAGGGTCTTCTAAGGTTCCTGAGAATTCTCTGGATACCAGACTAAGTATCTCAGGCTATTTTCTACAACTCATTTCTGAGACCTATAAGTGGTCTGTGACTTTAAATCCTTCCCTAACTCTTTGAAGAGAGCAAACCAGCAGGGCTGCCAAGTGAGAAACAAAGTATACAGTGGCCACTGTGCCAAGAACCAATTCAGGAACTGGGGAGGTAGTTCAGTTCGTAAAGCACTCAGTGATCATGAGGATCTGAGTTTGATCCCTAAAACCTACATAAAAATGCCAGGTGTGGTGGTGCACACTTAATAAATGCTTAGAGGCAGAGACAGTCAATCCCTGGGATTTCCCTGACAGCCAGTATGGCCTAAGTGGTGTGGTCCAGGCCAGTGACAGACCTTGTCTCAAAGGAGGTAGATGGTGTTCCTAAGGATGACACCCAAGGTTTTCTCTGGCCTCCACATACACGCACACACATGTGCACATGCTATGTGCACATATTCACATTAAGAAAAAAATCAGACCTAATGTAATACCACAGTCTCACATATGCTGAGTATACAGAAAATATGTAAATGTTAAAATAATATGTCCTATATTCATATTGGGCTCTGCTACTTACATATTATTTGACTTGAGACAAACTAAAAATTTATTGAAGTTTTTATATCTGCATTTCATTATAATACTACCTGAATTGCAGTATAATGCTTTCTCCATCCAAAGCAGTAAATCACTTTATTTATATATATATATACATATATATATATATATATGGAATCCTAAACACAGTCTGGCACATAGAAATTCCAGCATGTGGACTGATGAGATAACTCACTGGGTGAAGGCTCTTGCTGCCAAGCCTGATAACCTGAGTTTGATTCCTGAGAGTGTTCTACTCATCCTTGCTACGTCTCAGGAGATGTGGATGTTGGGTTCTTCTCATAAGTAGACTGTTAATCCTAGAGGAAGCTCTTCCACAGTGCTGGAAGACAGATAGAGGCTACCAGATGCTCAAGTTGGTAAAGCAATCAGAGGCTCAGTGCACATCTTTTATTCCATCCCTGCTCTACTGCCAGGCGCTCTTCTGATATCTTTCACCATCAACTTCACCATCATTAACTTGGAATATAAGGAAGACATGAGTCATCCTGAATCCCACAAGTTCAATGCCACTGAGAGAATCTTACAGAGCCTGGTGAGATCCCCACTTACAGATGTGAACCATGCCCACCAGTCTATGCCTTACCCTGGAGGAAGACTCCACACACCTCACCCAATGAAAACCCTATCCACTGATGTCAGACCTACTTATCTGATTTCTGTTATACCACCTAATTTTTCATGTTCCTCCTGCTTATTCTTCTTCCATTTCTCCATAGCTGAGGCCACTGTTGAATAAAACCAGTGTTGGCCACTTGTATTCTGGCTGCAGACTGACTTTGCTAAGGTGAGATCTTAGACTAGAACTGCAACCCAGTACCAGAAGTTTGATGAGCCGCTTTCCATCCCTTCCTCTGCATGTGTTCTGCACAGGTGAATTCAGGAAGCACTGTCTCCTATACCAAGGTGTCTTCTGATCCTACCACTTGTCCCTCAAATATCCCCACAGCCCACAATCCATCTATAGAATTGAAACCTCCTTCTGTGAATTCATTCTGATTTCCCCCTTTTCCTTACTTTAGAATAAATGAACATTTCCTGTGGACTTTTATTTCAGTTTCCAGAATTTTGCTTATGAAAAATCTGCCCTTTCTACTGATTTTAACCCTCAATGCCTCAATTACCAATCTTCATAAATATTATATATGACCTGTCCTGTCCCCATAATATGAGGATGCATACTGAAGACTTGTAATTGATTAAAAATTCTTGACTTCATGTGTATTCAAGGCCTCAGGCTTCTGAAGGTCAGTGAGCCCAGAGAGTTCACATCTGACTTTTTAACTCTCTTACCAGAGGCCTCCTTTTTCAGAACCTTCACATCCTGTTCTAGACTGCTGAGCATCTTTCCTTAGGCAATCTATTTATAATCATTCTTATCTACCCTTCCTAGGCCTGAGGAAAATGGATCAGCTACAAGAGTGGATGCCACCTGCACCCTCCACACTGATCCTGCTGGCCTTGGGCTGGACAGAGAGCGAGTGTACTGGGAACTGAGCAGGTTGACTTATGGAGTCACCCGTCTGGGTCCCTACACCCTGGACAGAGACAGTCTATATGTCAATGGTGAGCGGCAGTCATCTGTGCTTTGTTATATTGCAAATCTTAGAGTCTCACCTCTTCAGCCTCCATTTCCTCATCTCAGCCCATTTTCACTCTTTTTCTTATCTCTGCAGGTTATACATACCAGGTCCTGTCCACTGCACCCAGGAGTGAGTATTCTGAGGTTCGGTAAGGTTCTACCAAGCCTATGAGTCCCAGCCTTATGGAATGAAGAAAGCAAAGTCCATACCTCCATTTTACTCTCACAACCAATAGCCAGTAAAGGAATGAACAGGGGTTTAAACCCTAAAACACCTCAGGCATGTGTACCCCTTTCCTGCTTTCTCGAAGCAGATCATGTCCCCACTCAAAACACTAGGGTATTTCTTTTCTCCTCAGTTTCTGTGATGACCACCATTTCTGCAGGGATGACAACTCTTAAATCCACTCCCACAGGTAGGAATTCTTTCTTTCCTAGTGGTTCCTAGAATCGCAGGGGGGTGGAGAAGGGTGGAATAGATGGCATGCCACCATCTGTTATTTTTTCTTCATGGCTGCCATTCTGACTGGAGTGAGATGAAATCTCAATGTTTTTATTTGCATTTGTCTGATGGCCAGAGATGTTAAGTATTTTCCACATTTATTGGACATTTGTATTTGTCCTAATATGTATAACCCACCTGTACCACTCTTGCATGTGTACCCAAAAGACCACAGGACAACATATCACAGTGACATTTGTCTATCAATATTTATTGTAGCACTTTTCATGATAGCTAATTATGAAATCAACCTAGATGTTTACCAACAAAGAAATGGGCAAAGAAAATGTAGTACCTATACACAATGGAAATTTTTCTTTTAGCAATAAAGAAGTTATCTCAATTTCAGGAAAATTAATACAACTATAAGTACATGAAGTGAATTAAAAGTCTCAGAAAGATAAATTTCATGGCTTCTCTCATTTGTGAGTCCCTATTTTACACACACACATACACACACACATACACACACATACACAATTATACTTCTATAGATGATGTATTAGTTACTGTTCTGTTGCTGTAATAAAACACCATGACCAAGGCAACTTATAGAAGGAAGAGTTTATTTGGGCTTAGGGTTCCAGGAGGAGAAGGGTACATCATGTTGGGAGAGGAATGGTGGGAGGCAGCCAGAGCAGAAATCTAAGCACTCACATCTTCAGTCATGTCCAGGAAACAGGGAGAGACAACTACAAGTAGGAATGAGGCTGTGATGTCCCAGTGACGTGCTTTCTCCAGCAAGACCATGCTCCCTAAACCTCAGCAATCAGCACCACCAACTAGGAGCGAGTATACAGATACTTGGAGCCTATGAAGGATATTTTCATTCATACCACCACAGATGGCATGAAAGTAGAAACATAACTATCTAGGGGGACATACAGGGTTAATGGGAGTGGCACAAGCAGGAGAAGACAGGGAAATGATATATAGGGGCTAGGACATACTCAAAATACGTTATATACTTGCTTGAAAATGTGCTTATACAACCCAGCATAGTGAAACAAATTTTAAAAGATAAAAAATATTTGAATTTAAAAACTCAGACGTCAAAGGTGCCTATAACAGCTATAGGAGTGTTAATCACTTGAATTGTCATATATATTTCCTTTCTGCTTGATTATAGTATAGTTACCTCCATAGGAGAGGTCTACTGACCTTGAGTAATTTGGTTGGTTGAAGCTGGTATGGGGGTTACTCCGCTAAGAAACTGTGCACACTAGTGGAGAACTGTCCCTGGTGCTAGAAACTGGACATAGCTGATGCCCATGCTCAAGTTCAGAGAGAGAGTATTTGTCTCTCTCCATCTCCGCTGCAGCAGCAGGCTCTGTCGAGGAGTCTTTCACAGTCAACTTCACCATCATTAACCTGGAGTACCAAAAAGACATGGGTGACCCTGGATCTCAGAAGTTCGGTGCCACTGAGAGAATCCTACAGATCCTGGTACGAGTCCTGTTCTATGAGCACCACCACACAGACAGGCGTAAGCCACGCCCACCACCGTAAGCCACGCCCACCTTCCATACCACGCCTCTGGATGAAACCCCTCCCACTTCACCCCATCCCCTCAGATGCAAGGCCAACTTATCACTCACTGCTTTGTTCAGCTCTTCTCTGTCCTGCCTTTATTTTGTATGCCTCTGTTTTTGTCATCCTGCCTCCTCACTCCTCTCACCCTTTCTCCACAGCTCAGAACCCTATTCAGTAAAACCAGTGTTGGCCCCCTGTTTGCTGGCTGCAGATTGACCTTGCTCAGGTGAGTTCTTAGAATAGAAGGCTACAACTGCTCAAAGTGCTCACAGACTGAGGAATTTGTTCAAATTTCTCTCCTCCTTCCCTCTGCATAGTGAATTCAAGAGGCACTATCTGCAGTTCAAGGTGTCTCCTGATCCTACTTCAGGGCCCTCGGTCATCCTCACAACATGCAATCTATCAACAGAATTGAAATCTTCTATTCATCCTTTCTGAATTTCCCCTTCCTTCCTTTATTTGGAATGAATGCAGATATCCTGTGGGCTTTAAGTTAGGTCCCCAGGATTTCTCTTAAGATAAACCTGCCTTTTCCACTGATTTTAATCCTCAATGCTTTGATTACCCTTCTTCGTAAGTCTTCAAGGATGCATATTGGAGTCTTGTAACTGATTAAAAGTTCTTTAAAAGTTCTTGGCTCCATATCTGCTCAGCATCACAATTCACTGGAGGTCAGTGAGCTCAGAGAATCCATATCTGACTTTGGAATCTCTACGAGACATCTCTTTTCCTCTGGACCCTTTATATCCTGTCCCAGGCCTTTCAGAATCCCTACTTGGGCTACCTATTTACGGTCATTCTTTTCATCTACCCTTCTCAGGCCTGAGAAAAATGGAACATCCACAGGAGTGGATGCCATCTGTACCCACCACCTAGAACCTGCTAATCACAGGCTGGACCCTGAGAGGGTGTATTGGGAGCTGAGCATGCTGACTCATGGCATTACCCAGCTGGGTCCCTATACCCTAGACCAGAACAGTCTCTATGTTGATGGTGAGCAGCATTTATATGTGCTTTGCTATATTGCAGAGCCCATCCTCCCTTTCCAGACCTTCTTTCCCTTAATTTTACTGCATTTTGAGTCTTCCTCTAATTTCTATGCAGGTTACACACACCAGATCCTGGTCATCACCCCCAATGGTGAGTATTTGAAGTCTACATAGTTCTCCACAACATCTATTATTCTCAGTTCTTCAGGATAAAAGTATGCAAAGACCCATTGCTGATTTTATATTCTCACTTTACCTCCAGCTTAGGATGAACAGCACCTTAATCTCTTAACAGAATTAAGACCAGGATAACCTTATGATATCTTTACAAAGATGGTGTCTGCATGCCAAATAAATACCATTTTTCCCCCATAGCTTCTATGGTAAACAAATTTTCTTCAAGTTTGTCAACCACCATCTCCAGTCCTTCGGGTAAAATTCTCCCTAAAAATGCTTCTTGTAGTTTGCATAATCATAGGAGATAGGAGGCAGGGTGGAGCAGCTGGCATGTCCCACCAGAGCCCAAGGTTGACTTGAACACCAAGCACTTTTAAACACTGAACCATCCCCCCAGTCCCTAGTACCTGTTTCTTAATATAGAGATCTACTGACTTCTAAATCTTTCCAAAACCCTTGAAAGAGTTGGATCTCACAGGGTCTTCCCAGGGCTTTGAGAATTCTCTACATACCATTCCCAGCAAGCATCCAACCTCCCAGGCCATTCTCTAGTACCTGTTTCTTATTTTTTTAAATTGTTTGTTTTTTTATTTTTAATTTTTTAAAATTTACTTTTAAAATTTTTATTTTTTATTTCTATTTTATGTGTATGAGTGTATTGCTTGCATATATATAAGTGCACCCATGTCACGCAATGCCCACAGAGGTGAGAAGAGGGCATCAGATCTCCTGGAACCAAAGTTACTGATAATTGTTAGCCACCATGTGGGTGCTGGGATTCAAACCCAGGTCCTCTGCAAGAGCCATCAGTGCGCTTAGCTGCTGAGCCATCTCTCCAGACCCAAGTACAGATTATTATATCTTTTCTGAGTCCTTGAAAGAAGGACTGAAAAATACTGGCTCAGGCACTGGAAGCATGTGTGTCTCCTCAAGGGGCTTTGCTTCCTATCCTTGCCAAGTCTCGGGGATGAGAGATTGCCTGGTGTCCCCAGGAACCATGAAGAGTCTTCATGGGTGTCCTATTATTTTTCTGTTGCTGTGATAAAACACTAATCAAAAGCAACTTGGGAGAGCAAAGGGTTTGTTTGACTCACAGATTTCAATCTGTCATGGAGGGAAGCCAAGACAAGAACTCAATGCAGGAACCCAAAGGCAGGAACCGATGCAGAGGCCATGGAGGAATGCTGTCTACTGGCTTGCTTCCCTTGGCTTGCTCAGCTACCTTTCTAATACAGTTCAGGCCTACCTGCCTAGGGATGACACTGCCCATAGTGGGCTGGGCCCTCCTACATCAATTAGCAATAAGAAAATGCCTCACAGACACAGCCACTGTCAATCTGATGGAGAAAATTCCTCTGTTGAGGTTCCCTCTTTGCAGGTGTCCCAGTTTGTGTCAAGTTGACAAAAACTAACCAGCAAAATGGGTGAGACATGTCCCATCCCCCAACCCCTAACCCCATATTCTGAGGTATGAGTCTGTTGATCATAGATCCTCTCCCTCTCTCTCTCTCTCTCAAATCAGGCCATATTCCCCTGCAGCCTCTTTGTCTCCACAGCTGATAGCAATCTACTGTGGCCTTGTAGTCTCCCTCCTCCTAGCAGCTGTAAACCCAGCAGCTCCCCCGTATCCAGAGTCAAGACAATCTTGAATTATAACTTTTTTGTCTCATGCCTTCCTGACTCCTGCCCCATAGGCTAGATCACCTAGTGTGGAATTCCCCTTTCCCCCACAAACCTATAAGAACAGGGAATTAATTCCCTTTGTCCTTTGGAACTGAAAGATGTCTCCCTTCAAGACCCCTGTCAGGGTATTCATGATGACTATAACTCTTCTAATGAGGCTGTCATCTGAAGGGTAATTCATGTCAGCTTCTTTTCTACT